CTGCCCACCTGCTCGAATCAAGTGAAGTTAGGTATAAAATCAGTAAGTGGTGGTCACTCATAATATAATAAAGGTTTGTTAGTTAGACTACAGGGCCACTTTATCACTGAAGTATGTATTTATTGCTAGACATCAATTAACGATAACGTGTGCATGTGTTTTGTCCACTGCACACCGAGAAATAACATCCTTCCTGGTTACCTAACCGCTTAATAACCGGTTGCAAACATGCTCACACATACTGCCACAGTGTGACGCACTAATTACAGGGACCATTGAGCTGTGTTGAAATCCACATTTGCATAACCTCGTTAAGACAAAACGGCGAGACTCTAATTTAAGGACGACCTTTGAACGAATCTTAAATGACCTTGACAGTTATTAGCCAATCAATAGACAGTAACTATAAAGTGAAAATACATTGTAAGTAAGTAATGAGTTACAGTAGATATTCTTCTTTTACTTGATTTAAAAATTTGTTAAGGTTTCATAAAGGTTCAGAGGTTTTGAATTCATAATGCATATGGTATAGAAACTCGTCCATAGGATAAGGGTTTAGATTAGGTTGAAGCATCTCAATAAACACCTCTTCTATAAAACCGATCGCGTGTTAGCACTCTAACCCCTAACCTAAACCTTACCCTAACCCTAAACTTAACCTAAACCCTAACCTAACCCCAACCTTAACTCTAACCCTAAACCCTAACCTAACCCCAACCTTAACTCTAACCCTAAACCCTAATCTTAAACCTAACCCTAGGCCCTAACCCTATGGACGAGTTTCTATACCATATGCATTATGAATTCGGAACTTCTGAGCCTTTATCAAACTTTAACAAGTTTTTAAATCAGGTAAAAGAAGAATATCTACTGTAATTCATTACTTTCTTGTAATATATTTTTACTTTATATTGTCTTCTGATTGGCTAATAATTGAAATTGCTCAAACGCTTCTGATTGGCTCGTCCCTAAATTAGAGTCTCGCGACAAAACTGCTACACTAATTAGCCCGTGTCAAAAAATAATACCGCAACTTTGATAGTCCAAAATGTCTCCTTTGCTAGTATGTAATCAATATTTCCCGATTTTTAGATCTGCCAGTTTCATTTTACATGCCAATCAGCTTTACCATTATTTCTGACGGTTGTTGGCTCCAGTGAATGCAATATAGGTGGGTTTACAATAGAGTAAAATGATGCTTAATGTTTATTTAACGAGTCATATGAAGAAGCATTGGCATTTAATAACATTAAAGTTGAAAGAAACTGCATACAAGGAGTGGCTTAGGATCGATAACAACGTAATGAGCATATTGATTCTTTATCTTTGTCTAGATCTTGAGAACAGCATTACTATAGGCTAAGAAAGGGTTAAACATTTGCATCGCCTTGACTAATTATGAGCCACGGAATCCGTTGTCCGCAAACACTGAAATATTATACCATTTGTACTCTCACCAAGAAACGCTATAGTCTACGCAGTTCATACTAACAGTCTCAACGTTAGTAGTAAGTCTCGATCTGCTCACCTTTCTTATCTCACCCAACTTGAACCCACTCCAGTAAACAGGAACAGGTTTGGTTAGCATATTCCAGCCGTCTCGTTTCATAGAATTTAATCCCTTATCGATTGCATTATTTTTTTGTATAACTCTATATATGACACCAGTTAAGTCTACCTAATAATTATATTACATTTGGTAATACCTCAAGTGACGGTAACTATGCTAAAACGTTCTATCTCACATGACTCATTATTAGGTTGTCACTTATTTATTTCAACATAAACATTGGTACAAGAGGGCACCAAATGCATATGTGCCACACAATAACAATAAGACCAGTAGTAGTTATCATTGATTTGTGTGAGGGCTGGGGTACTGCCTGGATGCTCAAACCGAAGGTGGGTTTTTTTAAAAGACCACATTCAAAGCCTTTGACCTAAAGATATCAAAAACAAGGCAGTAGAGCAACGTTAGGAGGTGCAGTCCCATAGTAGCCAGTGACCAACGATTGGTTCATACGCCATTCACTATCTTAGAATCCTGGAGTCCATGTGCACCATCGGTTTGGAATCAGAGTTTACCAACTCCCATAGATAGAACCTCCGTGTCCACCAACCCGGCTAAAGCACTGGACATCCAATTTTGACCCTCTTGATTTCGTAAACAACACCGTTGAGAAAAGACAGTGAGTAGGACTCCTAGTAGTGGCTGTATATGCGTGGCTATGTGAGAGCTGGCTTTCCCCACGCGTAGTTGTCCCAGGGTACTTGGGGGCCTTTAGGATGTTATTTATGGCCAACAAACTAGACTTCACCATTATCTCTTGTGCCAGCTACTGAAGTGATCTAGGTGTAAATATGAATAAGTCAATTGATATCAACAGGACTGTCGATAACTAAAAGTACAACGCAATGCTTTGTGATGGAACTAGAGTGATAAAGATAGATAGAGGATGTTTGGTTACCTATATCTCCCGAGGTATCGGTAGTATTCGGCTAGTACAAAGGCTTCGTCTTTGTACTCTATCTAAGCAGAGTAAATAAGTTGATTTTTGGTACCATAATGTCAGAATATACCACCTAGATTACTGGGTTTATGTTAGACGGGTGATGATCTAAACAAGACGCGACATCCGTTTGTTACTTGTTGAGTTATCTATAGAAGTTGTAACTGTGTCCCAAAAGCTTCACAATCCTAGCCCAAAGATTATCTAGTGTAAGCTATCCTAAATCAGTTGAAAAACAACTGTCTAGTTAACATATAATATCAAAAGACTTTTAAATGTAATAAATAAAATACATCGCACTGCTAAATGACCGTATGAAACTATGTTTTTGGACGTAATCCCATTCGTGCAACAACTTTTTATCTAATCACATTTCACTTATTGTCTATTATTTCAGGAGCTATAATCGCACTTGAACCATCCATTCGTCCGTTATTAAATCGTTTAGCTCCGGAAGCATCATCAAGAATACAGAATGAGGCTATGCTAAGCCGTACCACAAACGGTCCTTATTTTCGAGTATAATACTCATTAAGTTTTGGAATTATTTTTCGGAACCGATTTTTTAGTTGTGTAATTTATCTTGTATACTAATCAGAAACTGTACAATAATACTATTGAAATTTACACATTTTATTTCTGTCTTGGTAATTCCTCAATGTAGTATTTTGCATACTTGTACTAAGTCGCAATCACTTATCGTCCCAATATATAAGAAAGGATCAAAATCATCTTGTGATAACCACAGAGGGATTATTTTAACAAATATAGTATCTAAAATACTGGCCTCAATAATAATCAGACGACTAACTAAGACTCGTGAACTGCAAACACGTAAAAACCAAGCTGGCTTCAGACCTGGTCGTGGCTGCATCGACCACATATTCACCATTCGTCAGGTTCTAGAGCATAGGCATACTTATCGGCGTCCGACAATGGTGGTCTTTCTTGACTTAAAAGCAGCACTTGACTCGGTAGATCGCGAGGTTCTGTGGCAGTGTCTGTCATTGAAAGGCGTACCCCAGAAGTACATAAACCTTGTAAAGGCTCTTTACTCGAACACTACTAGTCGAGTCAGAGCTTATGGCGAACTGTCATCTACTTTTCCAACCTCAAGTGGTGTCCGTCAAGGCTGTCCACTTTCTCCATTTTTGTTTAACTTCATCATAGACCTACTGATGGAAATAACATTCTCGTCGACTGAATTCTCGGGCATTGATCTCCTACCAGGAGGCCCACTTATCGACTTAGAATACGCAGATGATATAGTCCTGTTTGGTGAAGACGCTGATAAAATGCAGTCTTTTGGTAGCACTAAGCAACAATGCCAGAATGTTTGGAATGCGTTTCTCTCCCTTTAAATGCAAGTTCTTGCTTCAGGACTAGCCTGCGTCAACACCTGAACTAAGGATAGGGAGTGAAGTGGTCGAGCGCGTCGACAACTTCACTTATCTTGGAAGTCTGATCAGCCCTAATGGGTTGGTATCGGACGAAATCTCAGCACGGATTCGAAAAGCTCGTTTGGCTTTTGCCATCTTACGTCACCTGTGGCGAAGGCGAGATATCCGTCTATCAATAAAAGGACGAGTATACTGCGCGGCAGTCCGTTCTGTCTTACTTTACGGCAGCGAAACATGGCCTTTAAGAGTAGAAGACACCCGTAAGCTACTAGTATTTGACCACAGATGCCTAAGAAATATTGCTGGCGTCTGCTGGGATAACCGGATAAGTAATAGTGAGGTTAGACGCAGGAAAGGATGGTAAATCAGTTGATGAGATTATGAATCTTCATCGACTGAGATGGTTGGGCCACGTGTTACGTATGCCTGAACACCGATTACCACGTCGTGCAATGCTAACGGGTGTTAGAGATGGTTGGAAGAGAATTAGGGGCGGCCAAACCAAACGTGGCATCAGTGCTTGAAGACACTAACCTCTAGTCTGAGCCATGTTGGTAGATGCAGACTACTTGGTTGGGGTCCGCATGACTTTCGTAACCGATGGTTGGAGACTCTTGGTGACATGGTTCAGAATCGATCACAATGGCGTCGGTGCATACACTCCCTGTCTTCCCTTAAACTAAGAGATTAAAATCACTTCATATCTTTCTTTCTACGAACTAATTCTTTATTCCGGTACTGTATCCTTATATGCAATCTTTCTCCTATATATTATCACCTTTAACCTAACCACTCCTATGAATCCGGTGTTCATCTTGCTGTGCTAATGAGGTATGGCAACCTGGACCGATGCATATGTGTGCCTGGTCTTACGTTGTAGCTGACTGACTGACTGAAGTTATCCCAAACTATATGATTTGTAGTAAAGGTTTTGGAAATAAACAGCCGACCAAACCTATTTGCAATTGATAACCATAAGCAGTTCAGCACACACTTTAAAATAATACTAAGTAGGTTATATCACAGTTTATTATAATTATGTGTAGATAAGCTTACATTCAAACCTAATATCGAATAGATATGAATTTGAGTAAACACTGCATATGGATAGTGACGCTAAGAAAATAAACCGTAAAATGTATGAGACTCATTTCAAAGAACACATTTTGTCGCAAAAGTATGTTTATTAAAGCAGTGGCTTGATAAAATGTTGGCGATGTTAGATCCCTAGAACTCGAGGTAAATATCTTATTTTTGTAATTTGAGTCTTTTCGCGCCAAAAGCGCTCATTCCATTTTCATTTCCCACACTGGTTCGTTGTCTCTCTTCATATGCTATTTTGTAACGTTTCCCAAGGATATTTTTATGCTGTATATATGTGTTTGAGTTGTGGTTGTTGTTCGGGCTTCTGATTGCTTGTGGAGTACATTCCCCTCTTCTGAACCTGGACTTCTCTCTTTAGTTAGCGAGACTGGGATGCATCGTTATAGTTAACTGATTTGGTCATTGTGAAACTGAGTCTTCGTCCCGTTCGCAGATTAGGTGAACTCGTAATCTCTTGAAACACAGCATAAAATAAATAACGTGATACAGAATCGCTAGACTAGATTTAAGAAGTAGTTGACGCTTGTCGAAAGACAAGTTATTTATTGTAGTACTAAAAATGTATCGTATAGTAAAATTTACTGAATAATTGAAAAATAAAACAATATTAACATTCGCTTTATCTATGAACAGGCATTACTTGGCGTATATTCATATTTATACGTGTAGTCCTAATATATGTCAGACACTCTTGGCAATGTGTACACGCATCATCATTATGATCTTGCTTTAAAATTTTTTCACAAATATCATGACTAACACGAAGAGCTCCTTTCGACACAACCTCTGTATCATCATCGAAGAAAACTACTGGGACTGCATGACGAGCCAGACGACTTTTACCAGCCATTATTACTACATCACCATGACAAAGGTAAATCGGTAGTACGTGGTCATAGTCAGCTGCTCGGTTAAAACTCCCATGCAATGAAACGTCGAATTCATGCTTGATGGCTTCTGATGTTTCTAGTAAGAATAATGCAGCGGGTCCAATGCTGAAAAAGGTAACAATAAACGTGATTATTTTTTGAAAGACAGATGTTTACAGAAGCAATCGTTCAGGTAGCTTCATAAGTATTTATCTCAACCAACGATTATAAAAATGGATAACCCAGAAAGTCCTCTACACCACAATTAATTTTTAGATAAGAGCTTGAACTATGATCTGTGCTCTGACTGAATGAGAAATAATAATGCATTGAATGAGAATAAATAAGTAATATATTTGTAATATCCCAATGAGTAGAAAAATAGGATTTTCTACTCATTGGAATATTACAAATACATTATTTATTTATAACAATATACCCTATGCTAAATTTATTGGAAATTATCAAGTCAAACCATGGTAATAATACCTATCTAATGAGAATGTTAGCAATCATGAAGATATGGCCGTTTTAATGGTAGTTTTTGTCCAATACTATGATTCGCCTCACTGCATATAACTGAGTCGGTAAGCAAACAACCAGCGGTAAAAAGGATCAACTTTGACACACATCTCATATTGAAGAATAACTTATCAAAATATTGAACGGAGTGAAAGTTATTTTGAACCTATGCTATCGCGGAATAATAGTGTGCCAATGGGCTTTTGGGATAAACAGATTTTCCCACGTAATCCTGTATTCAAAATTTGGCATTCTAAGAATGAGCAAATCTCCCAAGTTAATTAAGAATTACGGAGACTAAATGAATCTAGTAGTTTCCTACTTTCCTGAAACTAGAGATATGTACCGTTTAACACATGGTCAGCGATCTAAAGACTATGTACAGCTGGGACTTTTACGGTTCTATCTCTAACAGAACTCTATGTGAACACTGCTCGGTCTCGTGCTAGGAAAGGACAGTTTTTTGGTACTTCTTGATTGTCTAGCTAAAGTTTATCCATCTTGTAAGCTAATTTTGAAAAATTAAACGTATTGTCAAGTTATCTAAGAACAAGTGTATTGTTGACAGCTGACTAACAGTTCGAGTATAAAGTTACAATGGTCTACGATACAAGGTGAAATTCACACAAGACGAACAAGCGAGAGGTAAAACGAAACCTTAAGAAAAGTCATTGATATGATACACATGAATTTGAAACAAAGTCGACTGTAAATTTCCTTTTGGTACTGTCAGTGCTTAGTTGTTAGCTTAATATATTCGCCTGTTGGTTAGTAGAACAGTTAGAACCGATTCGGTTAAAGTCAGTTGCCTGCAGCATGAAAGACATTTCAATTTGCTCAAGCACTAGTAAAATATTAACTTTACTGATCGATTTATAGTTTAGTTTGATGTCATTATTGTTTAACACAATCTTACTGGGGGAAACCATACAAATTATGCATGAACACACTGACCTTCTTCCATTATCAAGGGATGATTTCAACACAACTCTTATTAATATGCACCAAAGATGTATGATTTCATTTTTTTAAAATCGGTATCACCAAGTTGACAGCCACTGTGGGGAAGGAGTTCGTCCTGCCTAATCTTAACATATATTTCTGATAGTCTAATAGGAGCCAACAGTTATATAGCACACGAAACACACCTATCCAATCTAAAATTGCTAAACATACTGAAGTACTTCTTCTACACTTACCTAATCGAAACCAAAGGAGCTTCTTTATCTATTTCCGCATCATCAGAATGGAAGCCCATGGTTGTTTTTGTTCGATAATAGTTCACAATTGACGCTTCTGGAGTGTAATTTCGGCACTGTTCCAACAGACGAGATGAATTCCTAGAAGCAATCTCTCCTTCTTCAATTAAATGCTTAAGGAAGTTGATAATGTTTACTGTAGTCCCATACAGCAACGATGGAAATTCACCAACTTTAGATTCATTGTAAATCTGAACATAGTATTGGGGAAATTTTTTAGCTGGTATAAAATACTGCTGTATTAAAAATGTCAAGATTCCAATCAAATTCCATGTTGGATAGTAAACTCTAAATATGAAAGAGTTAACTGTTTAAGCGACAACAATTAATATGATAATGCAGGGGAGTTGTTTTTAGAGGATATTTGGAAACAGAACGAAACTATGGTTTTAAAATGTTTCTGTTAAATATGAATGACCATTTTTGATATGAAAATATTTAAATTTAAAGAACTTTAGGGTCTTCAATATAGTTGTTTTACCAAGTACAGGTTTATGTATTCGGCTTTATTTTACACAGTTTGTGTGAGCTTGGTATGATTTAATTGACTCATTACCATGCGACTGGGGATGAGCCACACTCTGAGTGTGAGGGATAGTAATACTACCTGGTCACCCATGCCAAAGTAAGTGAAGCAAGGATCGTATATGGGACTTAGTGGTTGAGTGTGGCGCATATGTATACGGTGCCCCCTTGCATCAATATTTATGTGTTCAGATAAATGGTTGAGAAACAACTGTTTTAGCCACTAGGTTATCGTTTCAAAAAATTCCGCAACATCCAGTGTATCCCTAGCCAATCGCCTGTGGGAGTGTTAGCCCTACATTGATTAGCTTAAGTGACAGCTTGGGAAACAATATTTGTCTTCTCGACGTAGCATGCTTATCAACTCATAGCTGCAGAACATTTGGTTCTATACCTTGTCATTACAAAACAACTTAACTTGCCCAGACACCATAGTGACAGGTTTCTTTCAAATGAAACAGGGGAAGTTACATAATACAAACAGTTTGTATTATTTTAATGACTAGACAAATTAAAGCGTTACAGAAGTATTATTACTGGGTCTCCTTCTGATCTAATTTTAATAACATCTGCAATGACTGAGTTACAAAATCTCTAGCGGCCTCTCAACCCTATCTCTGGAGATATGAGTTGGAAAATGCTAACAGAGCCATGTTTGTTCTGTGGTGTCATCGCAAAAATGAACTGTTGTCAGTCAATCATGATCAATCAGATATAATCTTTTATATTTTCCAGCAATAATTTTATGTCATGTAGTTCATTGCCTGGAGCTTTCAATGTACTACGTTTTTGTACCGTAAATATAAATAAATTTATATTCACGAAGGCCCACTAAGATCTTTAGAAAGATGGCAGGAATATATAGACATATATGTTACTGCTCAAGCTGAAGTGTAAAATACTAATATTAGCTTATTAGATATTTAATTTAGAAGACAAATTTCAGGAAGTTTAAAACACTACTTCACAAATTGAAACCATTCACATTTTTTTTAAAAGAGTAAAAATGCAGAACTTAAAAGAATGAGTTGCTTGAATTAAATGATATTATAGACAAGCTAGACTACATAAAGAACTTTGGTAGTGTTGGGATTCGACTGAGTAATATGTCAAATGACAGAAGACAAAGTAAACGGAAATTGGGATGATCAAACAAAAATAGACAAAGAATAGTTTTGGAGGTTGTCAAGATAATCTGTGATTTTGTATAATCTGACACCGGTTCGAGATGTCACATTTATAAATAGTAACAATATGTAAGAAGCTCCAGATTACAAACATGAATTAGGTCAACAACCAATGGCTTCGTAGTTAAAATTAGACTAACTTATCCACCACGTAATTAATTATGATCTACAAACGAAGTATGATAGCTAACGATACTACCCGATTACTCAAACAGTGGTAGAAAGGGCGGAGTTTGAACCTGGGTCTGTGATCAAAATTTGAACGTTTTAACCATTAAGCAACCACTTCATAATATTTTACTTGGCTCAATATTACTTTACACAGAACAGCGGAGTTATTATTTATTTACTTAAAACGTTCTGGTACAATAAAGTACCCAGAAAGTGCGCCACCAGGATGAAGTAACATTACGAATAGATGGAATAAGTGTACAATAAATAAATGAAAAAAAAACAGCATTTGGTAAAATGTACTGTTTAGTTAAGATGACGGTTAAGTAATGCTTCTTCCAGGTGAGGAAGTTCACCTCAATTTTATGAAAAACGTGGTGAAACTATAACATGATGATTACTAGTACCTATGCTGGGTCATATTTGCTTATTTCTTAAGCAAAGGAGTTGCACGACCTCTGGTGACTAGACCGTGAAGTTTCCATGGACCAAGAGGAGCCTGTCTAGTGCAGTTATCTTTCATACTATGGCACTGTGTCATAAGCTGACAACGCCTAGGCGTTTTTCATTTAGCCCCAGCGTCCGAAAGCGATGCGCGATGTAGGAGCCTAAGGGAACACTCATGTAACACAACTAAGTCACCGAAGTCAGTGTTTCAAGATCAGACCTTTTACAGACAGACTAAAATCATAACGGCCCTTAGGATAGTCTAGATTGGTATAATTAATTATGACGTTTTCACTGACATGCTACCACCAGCACTAATATAACTAACCAAAGATATGAGTTTTCAATTATTTTTTAACGGATCACCACAAAGATTAAGTGGGGTTACAGGCTTCTGACAGTTTGCAAAATTCTTTTGCACTTAGAAAACATGAAGTATATGCCGACTGTATAACTAGCATATTATTGTACAGTGAGACAATGTCATCTGCATACACAAGATCCCAAAGTCTTTCTTCAGGCGACAAGTCTACACCAAAACCATTGCGCGCTTCCCTAAGAGTTATTTTCAGAATATTATCGGTAGTAAAATTGGAAAGGAGTGGTGAGATCTATCAACCCACCCTATATTAAATGTGAATTAAAATGTAGTGAGGTGATTGGATACGTTCACTGAGTTATTCGGATACAGAGCCCTCAAGATGTTAATAAACTTCTTATGAACTTTCTTCTTCAGCAGGCAATCTCAGAGAAAAGTCCTATTCAACGAATCGAAGACTAAACAAGAAACACTGTAAACATCTAACACTTTTTAGTATTTAAAAGCCGTATTTATCTTAAACAGATATGACAAAACAAAAACCTACTCTTTCGCTCCACTGATAGTGATAGCCTAAAGTTATCCAACGGAGTTTAGAATACCATGGATCAGTACAAGCAATCCCTATCGCATAAGTTAACTTGTGAAAATGAATAACATACGATTATTATGAGACACATTTGTGCTCAAATTACATTGAGCCGTCGGCGAGTGACACCATTCTGTCAGTGCAGCAAGCCATAAATCTTTAATTTCAACTGGACTGAAGAAGTTCTTTATTATGAAAAAATCTGTTTAATTACATAAATGTATATGGTATAAACCCACCTTCGGTCGGTATAGTCTGCACTGAACAGTCTGAACGTGAATTCGGCAACCTAGTGAATACTGTTTCCTGTTACCGAGAATGATTCGACTATCTGAATACCTTGAAAGTTGAGTCAGTGTATCTCTGTATTTGTTCGCGAACATCATGTGTATAGTTTAAGTGTTTGTAAAATTTGAAGACATCCTTTAGATAGGTACTTTGGTCTTCGTCAGAATATGCCATATAAATAATAACTTCTAAACCGGATTCAGAAAGCGATCTAATAAAACATTTGAGATAAACAGACACGTACTAAGTAAAGATAACAAAAATAAAGTCAGCACATGGCATGTTAGGCTTAATAAACGTAGTAGTTACTGAATGAAGAAAAATCTGGAAAGGCGCGAAATTTGTACAGAAATGATGCTAGAACACGGAGCATTCAGGTCCCACTTCATTATGGACTAGGATTTTATGATCGATTTTACAGAATGACAAAAACTGAATATTTTTGAATTTACAGTGAATGTGAATGAATTTCCAACATTTTGCAGGGTTTTCCGATGACATAAGAAACATTCTGCAGACACTAATATAGTATGTAAAACAATATTAGCGCGAAAATGGTTCTAAAATTGAACTCTATAATTTATTACTGTCAACAATTACTGTATAAAATCTGCCATTAACCTCTTTATTTGCACTTTGTAGAAGAGCTCACTTATTTGATCCCACAGTAACTTCTTAACTCGAGTATCAAACTCTGCAATAAGTATGCACTACCCTAAAATTAGAAGCAGTTCATATTAGTCAATAAACCATGTGATAGTGGATACTGAGAACCCGCTTAAACTGTTAAACTGTCAAACGTGATCAAGTATAATAAGATAGGACCGGATACGAGGAGGAGTACAGATGATTTTGATTGGCAAACCCACGATTCATGTTCCAACATTGAACTACAAACCTCTGCTGGAAATGATTTTGATGGCTAAAATCTTATAACTATATTTAAACTAAATCCCAGGATTTAATTCTTGCAGGACAGATAAAAAGAATCAAACCGGTTGCATTAAACGGTGACCACTGTGTAATTGGAGGAAGTCTATGCAAATGATTGTGTATAAGCAGCGGGATTGGATAGTGGCTTAAAATGACCTCTTTTCTGTTTCAGCGACCTTGAACGGTTTGTTTCAAGGTGATCACTCCATATTTAGAACGTTTCGGGTCTGTGGCGTTTTTGTAGACTAGCTTGGATTGGTAGTGTCTTTAGGGGACTTCTATATTTCAAAAAACGCTGAATGACGCGTAGATAAGTGCGTAGTATCGGTCACTATCTCAAGCCCACATAGCTTATACTAGCTTACATACAGACCAATTTATTCATTCCTCTTGAGTCACATTTTGACCCTATCTATTACTCACTTATCAATCTTAACTTCTTTACATAAGCATATCTGTGTGTATTATCTTACTCATCACATTGACGATGATACAGGTATTCAGTGTTTGACAACGCTTCTACCAGTAACACCTAATATACTTTGTTCCCACCGAGAGAAATCAAAAGACAGAGTCGAGTAGATCGGAAGAGTGTATTTGGCGATAACCAATATATCGGAATTCTCTGATCTAATCTGGCTAGCGATTGCGGTAGATGTTGAGCACAGCGTTACCACACGTGATCTGGTGCGGATGCATGACTGAGCGCCTTCAGCTAGATGAGTCCACTAAAACATATGGTCAGCATCCAATGTCGAAAACTTACAGAGCTATTTATTTTGGGGATTTATTTACCGCTAAGACATGACTGTACTAATTTTTGTCTGACTATGCACATCGATTAACGCTTGGTTAAACCGAGTTGGCTAACACGTCTCCTCCGATCCGCTTCGCTTCCCTCCCTCCTGTTCGCTCCTTTCGCTACATCTCTCTGATTGTCAGTCTCAATTAACGATTGCACCAAAATATACGTATTCAAGCCCTCGTTCTTCTACCTAATCTCGTCATTTACCAGTGCGACTTAAGTCAACAATTATATGTGTGGATTGACGAAGTGTATGTTTCCATAACAATTTTTAAACGATCTAATTCAAGTCAGATATCACAGAGTCGCTAGAGGTGTGTCGTATGTTTCTGTCTAACTTTTAGGTAAAGAAGAATACTCTGTTACACGTTTTAAATAAATACATATTATTCCAGAATCACTTTGGGAGTAGTTTATATTTAATATATATATCCTGAGTGAAAATATAAGTACAAGAACAGTAAATCATCCAGCAAAATATCTGAATCCGCCTGGGTTATTTTCGGAATTTAAATTATTCATTAGACTTAAATGAATGAGTCCAGAATTTTTTCCTTATTAGCTACTCAACCATGTGGAACAGACTTCCAGTGAACATCCGTTGCAGTGAAACTACAACCCGGTTTGAAAGTCTCCTTGACGATTTTCTTTCCGAAAGTGGATTGTCACCTATTGAATATCAATGTATTCAATAATGATTTATACAAACAAGGTCCGTCATCTATTTAATTGACAGATAATTCCCATTTAAACATTAAAATGAAAACACGAATTTCAGCGAAGGGATCTCTTTTCAACGAATTTATTAACTGTGTTCTCATTTCCTCACGGAATTAGTACTTTTACAAAATCAAAAATTTTTCATATATATACGATTGTACAGCTTGATAATAAATTCGTTGAAAAGAGATCCCTTCGCTGAAATTTGTGTTTTCATCTATTTAATTGCTTGAAAAGCAAAATAAAAACTTAAAATCTTTTCACGTCTATTTTGTTTTATTTCTCTTTATCTTAATATATGAAGTCTGCTTATGTTCGTGTCTATCATTATTACCGTTATTAATATCATTATTAGTTCCCCGACACATTAGGTATTCTTTCTATCTCTTCTTATCCTTCTAAACATATTTAACTCCAGATTGTCCTTTGAAATCAATTTTGACTTTCATAGCATCAATCTTCATCATTATTGCACAAATATTTATACTAATATGCGGTTTCATTCTGTATAATAATAATAATATTAATAACTTATTCTCAAATAACAGTTCGTTACATGAGGCATGACAGTTTACAGGCAAGATCAAATTGATACAAATGATACAATATACACTGTAATAAATTACATAGCTGGGTTGATAATTTATAAGATATGAATGTAGATGGTTTGAATCAGTACCACAGTTGGCGCGCTTTATGAAAGTTGCGTTGCGAATGTGCGACTGATGGTCAAGGATAGGTCCATTGATGGTATGAGCTTTTAGAAATCGCAACCTTATGTCCCTTAGGGATGTCCAAGGCTTTAGGGATGGTGCAGGATGAAGTCACCAGTTCCATATCTCAAGGGGGCTGAAAGAGGGAGCAAGTAAAAGAAAACACCAGAGGCAGAGTAGCCAATATTCATGAAGGAATGTTTAAGGTATGTTTACTCAGTCTAATTTTCCTTTAAGGTATATGTTAAGAAAGAGCATTTTAATAGGTTAAAGAAAATAAGTGTTAACAAGGTGTGAGTGGACATACAACTGACAAATGGAGGCGATACGGAAACGAGCTGAGAGTATAAGATTATGTGTGATTATAAAATAAAATATGGTGCTAGAAACAGTATTGTGATATACAATTGGCTGTCTTCCCTTTATTATCGAAGCTATTAGGGCCCCTTTCGTTTTTTAAAAAAAAATATTTCCCCCCCCCCCAGTTATGATAGGGTCTTGAGTAGGCTTCGTATATTAGCGAATTGTCTAGTTTGCTTGTAATAGGATTACTGGGTAGGAAGTGAAACCAATTCAACGTTCGTAACACGACTTAAAGAGGAGTTTTACGTGGTAAATCAGCTTCAATACCATAAGTTCGTGACATCCCACTAAACCATAAGGAGCCGTAATTAAACAAAATGTTCTGCCCTACAGACATGGGTGGATTGAAGTTATCTCCCCACCTTCATGTTTGCTGGTCAGTAACGCCACCCTCCCTCCTTTTGTGATGTTAGGCTCTCTTAAGTTTGTGGTAAGTATGAATACTGCTTTAATCAAAGCCCATAGTTGGAATACACTGTCTCTACTAGGTCCATGTTACAAGCAAATCAGATAGTTAAAAAGTCTGTTTTATGGGTTAGATGTCCACATAGTATATCACACTGCTATGAAAATAACTAATGGTTTAAAGAAGTAAGGACTAATAGCAAATCAAATGATATGAGAGGGTATAAAATTGTAGAAAAAAAGATTTCAGGGTAAGACAAATAAAACATTGAGAAAATCACAAGACTTTGTGGCCAAATTTTGAGCTTTGAATGGTCGGCCTAAGTAGATCAGCATTCATAAGATTGAGCTATCTGTTTACTTGCGATAGAAAAAAGGCGACTTTTAGGAAGAATAATGTACATTTAATTTGTAGAGATTTGGGAACTGAAAGCTAGGGTTAGGAGCATGAAGTCATGATTAATAAACAATGAATAATAGGAAAGGATAAGCCATATATTCTGTGATTTGGTTATATTCATATTAGTAACAGTCGAACTTTTTATAATTTTGTTCTTTCTAGATACTAGGCGGTCCGTAATAAAGTGCCTCATTGGTGGGCGGGAGTTCAAGGAAATGTTGAAGCTCTTTGGAGTCTAGAAATAGGGTTATTAGCCTTTTGAATCTGATAAACGTATCACAATTAAGGATAGGCATTGGCAGCCTGTTCCACAATAAACTGTACCGTACTGTAAAGAACTTACAACGCATTTGTTTTTGGTGTTTTACGGTAAGTAGTGTATATGCGTTGTTTCTAAGTCTATAGGCTGGGTCGTGGGTAATAGTCGGGCAGGAGGTTAGAAAGGACAGCCCATATATCGCTTTGTAGAGAAATATTAAATTGTTCTATAGCTTACGGTGCCATAGAGGTTCTAAAGATAGATGCTTACATCTATCTGTGTAATCGAGATTCAAATTACATCCTGGTAGTTGACGTGTGAAACGTCTTTGAACATCTTCTACTCTTATCTTGTCTGTGATATTCATATTAGAGAAGAGAAAAGAGCAGTATTCAAGGGAGGGACGTACACATATTTTGTAGAGAGTAAGTTTACCCTCTGTTGTGAAAAAGTTTTTCATTATAAAGCCAATTAGCCGTCTAGATTTAGAAATAATAGAGGAGGCATGTTCTTCAAAGTTCAGGCTTTCTGTGTAATTAATTCCTAAATCGTGTACTGATTCGAGTGTTTGGACTCTACTTTCATTTAAGTGAAGTTGCGGTTTATAGGGATGCTTTCCAAAGTGCATGATCCCGCACTTGTTGAGGTTAAATGGTAATTGCCATTTTTCACTCCATATAGTTAAGTTATTGAGGTCCTTTTGGATCTGGGATACACTTTCGCTTAGTGTCTCAGGCTTATAGCTGTATACTATTTTGAGATCATCAGCATATAAGTATGGTCTCCCAAATTCTATGGTGTTACATATATCGTTTATATACATAAGAAACAAAAGTGGACCTAATACGCTTCCCTGGATGACTCCACTGGTGATTGGTCTAGGGGACGAGAGACAGTCATTGTACTTTACCATCTGTTTGCGTTCTGTTAAGAACGAAGCAAACCGTGAGTACAGTGGGTTGTGTATTCCGAAGGACTTTAGTTTGACGAGTAGCCTTTTGTGTGGGACCTTATCAGAGGCTTTCTTAAAGTCTAGGAATAGGACTGATACAAGGAGTCCGCTGTCTCGTTTCAGAGTTATATCATTCAGGTAGTCTACTAGGCATGTATCGCATGATCTGGACCTAAGAAATCCATGCTGGGAGGTCGAGATGAGATTATTAGTTAGTAGATGTTGGACTACAGCCGCCTTAACTACTTTTTCCATCACTCTGGATACCACTGAAGTTATGTTTATAGGCCGGTAATTTTCAACGTTTGCTTCAGGTCCTGTTTTAATTTTGGGAATGATATGTGTAGTTTTCCAGGCAGTGGGGTAACACGCTGAAGAGAGTGATATCGCGAATAGTTTGAGAAGCAAAACACACATATCATCACCTCCACGTTTTAGCATGCTAGATGGAATACAATCTGGTCCACCAGTGTATGAGTGTTTCAATGTACTGATTGCCTTGGAGATATTTTGTACACTGAATTCTACATTAGTAATTTCACAGGGAGTTACTGGAATT